GGGAGAAGAGAGGGGAGGAAAAGAGGGAGAGAGAGAGAGAGGGGGAGAGGGGAAGAGGGAAAAGAGAGGAAAGGGGGAGAAAAAGGAGGGAGGGGGAAAGGGGAGGGGGGAGAGAAGGGGGGGAGAAGAGAGGGGAGGAGGGGAGAGAGAGGGAGGGGGGGGGGGGGAGAGAGGGAGAGAGGAGGGAGAGAAATAGGGAGAGAGAGGGGGAAAGAGAGGGAGAGAGAGAGGGAGGAGAGGGAAGAGGGGGGAGGAGAAAGGGGGAGGAGAGGGAGAGAAGAAAGGGGGAGAGAGGGAGAGAGAGAAGAGAGAGAGAGAGGGGAGAGAAGAGAGAGAGAGAGGGGGGGAGGGAGGAGGGAAAGGGGGAGAGAGAGAAGAGAGAGGGGAGGGGGAAGGAGGAAAAGAAGAGAGAGAGAGAGAGAGTGAGTGAGTTGGGGGGGCAGAGGGAAAAAGCGATGGGGAAAAAAAGGAGGGAAGTGACGGTCTGGGGGGGGAGGGCGGTTTAAATTCCAAGGATCAGCTGTGTGTACTCACCAATTGTGGTGTGTGGGGCATGTTTTGTTTTGGGGAGCACGTCAGTTGTTTGTATGTCCCAGAAAAAACAATTTTACTTCTGTGTATCCGTAATTCTAATGGGGAATTTCCATTAAAAAACTGAGAGTAGTTCTATTAAAATTTTAATACTAGCGGGTTTTTGTTAACCCAAATCATTCTTTCACCCCTTAGGTTTTTTTACCCCTTTTTTCCCACATGTGTACCCAATACTTGCTTCTTAGGGTTGTACTGTCTTTTGTCTTAGAAAATTATCCTGAAATTGTTGGGCAAGGGGTGTAGTCCCATTAGCCACGGGTTAATTTCCCCCCCTGCTTAATGTGTGTGTGTGTTGTGTTGTGTGTGTGGTTTTGTGTTGTGTTGTGTTTGGGGTTTTGGGGGGTGGGGTTTGGGGGGGTTTGGGGGGTTGCCCTGCGTGCGTGCTATCCCCACCTATTTTGTTGGGGGTTTCACGGGTCAGTTCAAAGCTCCCCCGCCCCGCCCCTTTGCTGGCGCTACTAGGGGCGACGCCTCCTTTCCCGGGTACAAGAGTATTTCGCCTCTTCTTAAAAAAAAACCCCATGTAAAGGATTTCCCCCCCACCCCTTTTTCTTTTTCCCGATTGTTTCCCCTTCCTGGGAAAATCTTTAAAGGCTGAATTTAAAAAAATTTTTAAAATGGGCCCCTGACCCCTAGTTTCAACCTTTCCGCTGTCCCCCTTGTTTTCCCATTTACCATCCTAACACATTCTCTCCCTTTCACCTTGTTTGTTAATCCCCGGTATTTTGTATGTTGTTATCAAAACTTTTTGAGGGCCTCCTCTCCTTTAGTGTCATCAAGCTGAATTCCCCTTTTAAATTTTTTCCCCTCGTCATAGGACATACCCCTTAGCTCCTGGACTAGTTTTGTTGCAGACCTTTTCATCTCCAATTTCTTGACGTGCTTGACCAGGTGTGAATTCCATACTGGTGTTGCGTACTCCAATATGGACCTGACGTACACGGTGTACAGTACCGTGAATGGCTCTCTACCTTGATATGCTGCCCAGATGTGTGTATACTCACATATATGGGATTGCAGGGGTCCGTTCACCACCTTTCTGTATGTGGTTGCAGGGGTCGAGTCATAGCTTCTGTGTGTGTGTGTGTGTACTCACCTATTTGTACTCACCTATTTGTGGTTGCAGGGGTCGAGTCATAGCTCCTGGCCCCGCCTCTTCACTGATTGCTACTAGGTCCTCTCTCTCCCTGCTCCATGAGCTTTATCATACCTCGCCTTAAAACTATGTATGGTTCCCGCCTCCACTACATCACTTTCTAGGCTATTCCACGGCCTGACTACTCTATGACTGAAGAAATACTTCCTAACATCCCTTTGATTCATCTGAGTCTTCAACTTCCAATTGTGACCTCTTGTGTCTGTGTCCCATCTCTGGAACATCCCGTCTTTGTCCACCTCGTCTATTCCGCACAGTATTTTATATGTCGTTATCATGTCTCCCCTGACCCTCCTTGCCTCCAGTGTCGTAAGGCCGATTTCCCTCAACCTTTCTTCGTAGGACAATCCCCGTAGCTCTGGGACTAGTCTTGTTGCAAACCTTTGCACTTTCTCTAATTTCTTGACGTGCTTGACTAGGTGTGGATTCCAAACTGGTGCTGCATACTCCAGTATGGGCCTGACGTAAATGGTATTCAGAGTCTTGAACGAATCCTTACTGAGGTATCGGAACGCTATCCGTAGGTTTGCCAGGCGCCCGTATGCTGCAACAGTTATCTGATTGATGTGCCCCTCGGGAGATATGCTCGGTGTTATACTCACCCCCAGATCTTTTTCCTTGAGTGAGGTTTGCAGACTTTGGCCGTCTAAACTATATTGTGTCTGCGGTCTTCTTTGCCCTTCCCCAATCTTCATGACTTTGCATTTGGCAGGGTTAAACTCAAGGCGCCAGTTGCTGGACCAGGCTTGTAGCCTGTCCAGGTCTCTTTGTAGTCCTGCCTGATCCTCATCCGATTTGATTCTTCTCATTAACTTCACATCGTCCGCAAACAAGGACACTTCTGAGTCTATCCCTTCCGTTATGTCATTCACATATACCAAGAACAGCACAGGTCCTAGGACTGCCCCCAGTGGAACCCCGCTTGTCACAGGCGCCCACTCTGACACGTCGTCACGTACCATGACTCGTTGTTGTCTCCCTGTCAGGTATTCTCTGATCCATTGCAGTGCCTTTCCTGTTATGTGTGCCTGATCCTCTAGCTTTTGCAGTAACCTCTTGTGAGGAACTGTGTCGAAGGCCTTCTTGCAGTCCAAAAAAATGCAGTCGTGTGTGTGTGTGTGTGTGTGTGTGTGTGTGTGTGTGTGTGTGTGTGTGTGTGTGTGTGTGTGTGTGTGTGTGTGTGTGTGTGTGTGTGTGTGTGTGGTGTGTAAGGTGTAGTGTGAGTGTAGTGTGTGTGCGCTCGCCTATTCGTGGGTGTAAGGGTCGCTTCATAGCTTGTGTGTGTGTGGTGTGTAAGGTGTAGTGAGTCAGAGTACATTGACACATATTGACCCGTATCCTCCCTCCCTCACAACTTCCACAACCCCCCCCCCCTCTCTTCCTACATCCTCACCCTTTACCACTTGCCCATCCAACCTCTCCTCACTTATCTAACGCTTACGTAGTTAATGATTCCGTAGTTAAATATTTGACGATATCCTCACCACCTTGCTGGTCTTACAGCTTAGGCTGAAAGATTTCCGTACATGACGAACGAAACCCATTTTGTGTGATGAATACGACAGGAAATAATAGCACGATTTTGTTAACATAATGGAACGACCGTATGGAACAGGCTACACACTGCTGGACTTCCCACAGTGTAACAGTCATAGAATAGAATAGCCGCACACTACGCTTGTTCCCACAGTGTAATTAATAATAATAATAATAATAATAATAATAATAATAATAATCTTTATCTTTTGTTTCTACAAGTACATGTACAAGGTATACAGACCACAGACCATAGCGGAAAATCCTAGAGTGATTAGTACCAAATTTACACACGAAAATCACTCCCTACGAAAACAAGACTCGGCAGGCGGTGCAACATCTCCCCAGTGGAAACCAGAGGCGCCATGAATACGCTAAGAGACAACACAGTTAAGTGTCAGGGGCCCCAAGACTGTTCAACTGCCTTCCGGCATATATAAGGGGGATTACCAATATACCCCTGGCTGCCCTCAAGAAGGCGCTGGACAGGCACCGAAAGTCACTACTTAACCAGTCGGGCTCTGGTTCGTACGTCAGTTTATGTGCGGCGGCAGTAACAACCTGGTTGATCAGGCCCTGATCCACCGCGAGGCCTGGTAACAGAATGGGCCACTGGGGCGTTGACCCCCGAAACCCCTCTCTAGATATACTCCAGATAATGATATACTGCTGTATAGAAAGCTCCTTGTTTTGCAGAGCATGTCGGGCAGATTAGGTCAATTTTGCCCCCAGGATGCGACCCACAACCAGGTACCTATTTTACTGAGGTGAACATGGACAGCAGGTGTCTTAAGGAAACACGTCATAATGTTTCCACTTGTACCGGGGATCGACCCCCGGAACTCAGTGTGTGCTCTGAGTGCGCACTGTGTACGTATATATTTGTATAAAAATAGTACACTACTTAATTATACTCAGCTAGTTTAATTAACAGCCAAAAGTGTTAGGTAAAATCTTCATGTTTGTCTCATAATTTTGCTTATCAAAATTCTGTACACCACATAGTCAGTAGCACCAACATGGAACCCCCACCTTCTTAAGCACACGCAAAACCAATCTTAAAGCCAGTAGCACCCGCATAGAGAACATACCTTCCCAAGCACATGTAAGACCAGTCTTAGCACCAGCATGGTGAATCAGCAACGCCAGCAAGGATCCTACATCTCAAGCACTTTAAGGTTAGCAAGTTATAGAAGTTTGCCCTCAGACAGAACTGTATATAGTTCTGCGAAACTGAAGGACTGATTACCTCATAATCTACTGTCGTCGTATATCATCTCCGTAATGAAATGAGTACGCTTCAGTAACTGGGCTTCTACCCTTCTACCCGCATTCGAATGCGGTCTCGTGTATCAAAAGTTGGCTTCTTAATTATAATTGATTCTTTATCAACCATAAATTCCCTTAACTCTCTGAATATCAATTGTGGCATGCTTGTGTCAGGAGTCAGACATAGGAATGGTGGAACTGTAAACAGTGGAGTTACAGTACACCTGTGGATTTCATCTCACACTGGTCTTCAGATGCATGATAGAACTGATGAATTAGCAAATGCATATATGCCTTCAAGGAGGGAGTAGATTACAACCTCGGGCTCTCAGAAGTTTGAGAACAATGATAGGAAAAATATGTTCAACTGAACGTCATAATTTGAGACTGAAGAAGACTAACACTAGTCAGTCCACCTATCGTTATTATATCATGCAGGAGGAGCCACATGTCTATGATGCATCCAAGAAAATCTGCAGACTTTTGGATGTCACTATTGCCAGGCTCTGGCTGGGAGGTTGCATCAGCACGACCAGCTGATGTAGACGGAACTAAATGTAAATTTTGTTAGATGGGCAAGTGTCACACCTTGCGTCATATGTGCTGGAATGCGATAAAATTAATGAATTCGGAGACTCACTTGCAAATGTTCAACAAACGTCAAATATTTTATCCACACTGGCATATTACTATCCAATCTAGAAAAATTCCCAGACTTTGCCTATTATAAATAACTTGTTTGCGTTCAAGCATCCCTTCCTAAAATATAAGGCAATATTAATAATTCAGAGCCACATATTAATAATTCAAAACCACATAATAATTCAGAATCATATATAAGCTACACTAACATTTTTGTGACTTAATGTCTATATAAATAACTCATTACGTAATTATTGCCACCAAACACGAATATGTAAATAGTTCATTACCACTAACTTGTTAAGCTATCAAAACTTTGGGGCTCATTCCCTGGACCCATTAAACGGTGCCCCGTTGCCTGGTGGCTAAAGCTCTCTCTTCACACAGTGAGGGTCTGGCTTCGATTCCCAGCGAGGGTAGAAACATTGGGCGTGTTTCTTTACACCGGTTGTCTTTGTTCACCCATCAGTAAAATGGATACCTGGGAGTTAGTCGACTGGTGTGGGTTGCATCCTGGGACAAAACTGACCTAATTTGACCGAAATGCTCTGCATAACAAGCGGCTTTCTATATAGTAGTATGTCATTGATGTCAGCTAGGACTGTATACCTTGTACATGTAGAAATATATTATTATTATTATTATTATTATTATTATTATTATGTGCTTCACTGCCACTACACGGGGTATGGGGTTTTAAATTTAAAAAAAGATAAACTCACAGGGGGAAATTTAAAAGGAATCAGGGGTGTCTTCTTACTTAGAAAAAAGAAGACTCAGTTAAAATGAGCCCTTTTCCCCGGAAAACCCCCGTTGTGGGGCCCCGCCTCTACCCTCGCCGAACGTTTTTAAAATTTTTATATAATATTTCGTACATATCCCTTTTAAAATTTCCTTTTGGGAAATGAAGTTTTAAAAACATAAAACCCTTTTAAAACTTCGGAATTTTAGTCTCATTTTTTTGATTTTTTAATCATGTTGTTTTAGTTGGTTCCGGGTTTCCCGGGTTTTTTGGGAATCTCGGAGGTACCTTCACAAAGGGTTGCCTGTTTATTCTAAAAAATTTTTCCCCGGTTTTTTATGTTCGTGCCGTTCATTAACTCTCGGAAAGGGGTTGTTTAAAATCCCGGCCTCTTTGCAAAAATTTAAGGGTTTTAGTCCCAGGTTCCCTTTAGGGGCTTTAGCCCGCAGTTCCTTTTCCTTTTGTGGAGTTTTGAAATGTTTGTACGCTGTACGAAACTTTGGGAAAATTTTGCAGTACTTTTGTTTTGGGTTTTTGTTGGGCGATTCAAGCCTAAACTTTTTTTTTCTGGGTTTTTATTTTCAGCGTACCAACGGAATTTTTCCAAAATTTTTTTTTTTAGGTGACATTGGCGAAGCTGGGTTTTTGAGGGCCCGGGGGGGTTACGGGGGGGGTTTTTTGGCGTTTTTGGGGGTGTGAAATTGTGGGGGTTTTTTGTGTTTGTGTTGGGTAAATTGGGGGGTTTCCGGGATAAAATTTAGGAAAGATGGGGAGGGAGATGAGGGGAGGGTTAGGGGGGGCCCGGGTGGGATTGGTTTTTAGAGGAGTTGGTTGGGTGGGGGGGGGGCCGATTAAAAAAATTAATTAAAGATATTTTAATAAAGGGTATAGTAATTAAAGAGATTAAGGGGGGGGGGGGGGAATAATGATATTTGTAATTTAAAAAGGAAAAGGTAAAAATGAAAATTTGTAATAAGGATGGAATAATGTTAAAAGAATAAAAGGATGTAATAATGGGTATAGGAAATAAAAGATAATTTAAAAAGATTTAAAAAAAATAATTAAAAAAAAAAAATTTTTTAAAAAAACCAAAAAAATGAATTTAAAAAATTTAAAAATTTTTTAAAAAAAAAAAAAATTTTTTTTAAAATAAAAATATGGGAATAAAAATTTTAAAAAAATTTTTAAAAAAATTTTTAAAAATAAAATAAAAAGAAAAAATAAATTATAAACAAATTTAAAAATTTAATAAAATACCAAAATTAAAAAAAAAATAAAATAGAAAAGTCAAAATAAATTTTTGGTAAAGAAATAATTTTTTAAAAATAAAAATGAAAAATTAAAAATAAAAATTATAAAATAAAAAAATATAAAAAAAAGGTAAAAAAACAAAAAGAAATTTAATAAAAAAAAAATTTTTTAAAAAAAATGAAAAAAAAAAATAAAAAATAAAAAATAAAATAATCCCTTTTAAAAAAAATAAAAAATATAAAAATTTTTTAAAAAATATTAAAAAATAAAACTAAATAATTTGGGGGGGAAAAAAGGTAAAATGAAAAAAAAA